TATTATAAGATAGGTGCTGCAATCTGCCTGGCAGTTCAATGGTATCCTGCTATTATAAGATAGGTGCTGCAATCTGCCTGGCAGTTCAATGGTATTCTGCTATCATGAGATAGGTGCTGCAATCTGCCTGGCAGTTCAATGGTATTCTACTGTCATAAGATAGGTGCCGTTATCTGCCTGGCAGTTCAATGGTATTCTGCTATCATAAGATAGGTGCTGCAATCTGCCTGGCAGTTCAATGGTATTCTACTATCATAAGATAGGTGCCGTTATCTGCCTGGCAGTTCAATGGTATTCTAAATAGTCTGGTTATTCTCATATTATAGTTAACGGAACCCTATTTTCCATTCAGAGTGGGACAGAAATCAGTTCGCCTCAAGAATCCGAAACACAGTCACCTTCATTCGATCAATCGAAGGAAAATGCGCCACCATCATCACGCAGCGAATCTTTAAAAACAGAGAAAACTTYAAGTGATTTGAATGATAAAACAAAGCAGACACCCGATGAGAGATCAGTCAGTGTCAAATCTGGCCGTAGATCGAAATCTCCACAGAAAACTGTACAAGTGAAAACCCCAGAAGAACAAAAGGCTGAGGAGGAGATAAAGGAAATGGTCGTGGAAAAAGATGAGAGTGGTAAGAAATCAATACATCATTAGACATAGTTAATGATGTACAATGATGGTGAAAGATAGTGTATGATAGTGAATGATGGTGAATGATGGTGAAWGATRGTGWAWSATAGTKWATSATRKWKAATGATGKWGAAWGATRGTGWAWGATAGTGTATSATRGTGWATGATGGTGAATGATGGTGAAAGATAGTGTATCATAGTTAATGATGTCCAATGATGGTGAAAGATAGTGTATGATAGTGAATGAAGTCTAATGATGGCCAATGATGGCTACTGATGGAGAGTGATGGCTAATGATGATGAAGGATGGCTAAATAATGGTAAATAATAGTTAAAGATGGAATAGATACAAACAGCTTCCCAGTAAGATATGCTATTGTTTTGTCAGTTGATAGAAAAGACGCTTCTATTCAAAGTGACACTGAAGACCAACCTCAAGAGACTGTCAAGCCAAAGTCCATTCTACGAAAAACATCAACCCTTCAGGTGGTACAAGAACAGGAGTTGGACACCGAAGAAGACAAGGATGTCGACTGGGTAGGTTGTCCTGATTTTATGGCGACTATCTTATTAAATGAATTATTCTCCACACTTTAAGTTTGCGATTTTCAAAATATCGCGCAACTTTAGTGAGGCGAAAAAAAAGGTTTCGCGCAAATATAATGACCGAAAATTAATTGCTCTCACAATTCCCTGCGCCAYCTTGAAAGTTAGCCGTGCCTTTGCATAAAAGCGTGACAAGCATCGAGCTTGCAATGATAGAGACCTTTTTTGACGCCTTGTACAATGATTCACATGTCATCATACTTAAGACCAATGTCGTTTTCTTCAAGAAATGTCTTAACTTGGAAGCAAATTATGAATAATGTTTTCAATGAAATCGCGAAATTAAAGTGACTTGGATATGATTTGAGGAGAAAATCCTCAAAATATACCGAAATCAAACTCGCGAGATTAAAGTATCACGAAAATTTAATGGGCTGGGTACATCGTATTTTGGTTCTTGTTAGTTTTCTACGTATCATTTTATAGTGCTGACATTGCTGTCTGTTTATTTAGGCCACCCTACCACCTGAAGACCTACTAGCCCATGCTGAACTACAAAAAACGAAGGTAAATCAGTGCRTAATACACTCACTCAGTACGTGTTTCTAGTTACATTCATTAGATAGCTGGTCACGTAAGGGATGGACTGCTCGTCACACATTCTTCAAGTTATCATCTCCTAGTAATAGTATATTCATGCCATCTATACAAGGCTGAGGGTCTTGTGTGACTGAAAAATGGTCACGCAGTGGATGGACTGCTCACCAACGCGTTTCGTATTGATTTTTTCCAGAGATTGAAAACGAAAGAAAAGCTGGAAAAAGAGTTGTCTGAATGGAAAACCAAGGTACGCTTACATATCATTGCCCATAATCAATTAGCCTTAGCAAGAGCGGTGGTTATATTATAGTAAAAATAAATCATTGTCTATAATATGACCCATGTTAAAGTACCATGCTTAATATAACAAACTCTTTTTAGTATCTAAAGAAGACTGATGCACTCAGACAAGAAATAGCCGAAGCAGAAGGAAGACACATTGGAGTGAGACTGACTCTCGTTTAATCATCATATAAAAATAATGATATTTTTATGTCATTCGTTTTCATTGATATGATGCATTTTCTTATTGTCTTTTCAACAGGAAAAAGAAGGTTTACTAAAACAGGTGAAGGAAGCAGAAAGCAATAAGGTAACTACAATGGAACGCCATATAAAATGGTTATATAGATCCGAGCCACTTGAAAGTCGGCTTACCATAGATGACAGCACTCTATCCTCGGTTATTTTAAGACCCTGAGTGTTGGTCCGGCCCCGGGGCTGGAACCACTACCTCCCGCAGAACGGACCGATAWTCAACCAACTGAGCCAACCGGGTGACGGTGACTTACAGTACAACATTCATGCCATATTCTTGCGTGGTTAGTCGTTCCCGTATTTGCTCTTTTACTAATATTGATCAACTATGTTTGAATCCCCAGGAACAAGCGGAAAAAGAGGTAAATGACGTGTCTTACGTTACTCCATACATCTAATGAAGAGATTGAAATCTTGCTAATCATCCCCTTCRTCTAGTTATCGTTGTTGGTGTAGTTGTTAGAGATACTGATGAAAGTAGTGATGGTGGTATAGATAATGGATAGCAATGCATGTCATAATAATCAGTGTCGTTCAATAGACGGCTTGTAGCGGCCAATCAGAGACCAATTATAATTGCAATATCCATTTCAATTCAAACATCTTGTAGACATAGTTTGTGTTTAAGCAAACAAATGACCTTACCACATAAGCTTAAAATAAACATAGATTCGTGTATAGAAGATATATTTCACCAACATGCAGGTAGCATTTGATTATTATATTCTTGTACTTTTTTAATCCTTGCCTACCTTGTTCCTATTGGTTTCTTTTGTCTTATTCTATCATATAAACACTCCTTTCTACCACCTCTTTCTCTTTTACTCCGACGAAGGACTAGCGTCCGAAACGTCATCTTTTCACGGTGCATAATTTACTTTTTTATCATTACTGTTTCATTAGAAACACCGACGCAGCTCACACTAGTTTTTAGTTAGTTATCTCTTCGTACTTTTTTAATGTTTTTTCCTACTTTCTTTGTCAGGCGGAACAAGCCATGCTTCAGTTGGTAAGTCAGTACTGTAAAGTAAATCCCTCACACTCCGAAATGTAGGAAAAAACCAACGCTGTCAATTTGAGTKTCTCCCCCTAATTGTGTACTTACAAAATAGCGAGAAGAATTAATTACTAGTATTGTCATAGTAATATTGTTTATCGTTCCCCTGGCTTCAAAGTAAAATTCGCTTGTTACTGATTAGAAAAATATTGTTTAAAGTCTTTGATGTAGAATGAACTTTTTATCTCTTAACAGGAAGAAATATTAGCAGAACAAGAAGAGATGGTGAGTAAAACTAATTTACTCCGATCAGAACTGTYCATCAGTGACCATGAAACAATGGTTCAAAGTCCAGGTTGGACTTGATGAAATGCAGTAAATATATGGAACATYAAGTACAACCACAAATGGASTTCTTCGACGATACGGCGGCCATCTTGTCAGGGGGTCAAAACAAAACAAAGATGACAGAAAATATATAGAGTTTCGTTTGTTTGTCTTTTCTTTATGGGTAAAGGTGATCGATGTGCCGTCTTAATTTATCTTTTGTTGTGTTCTCTTGTGGTGARCTGTTAATATCAATCGACGTCCCATATTGCCTTGCGATCCAAGATGGCTGCCTCATCTTAGAAGAAGTCCATTACAATGACACGAGTAAAAAACGTCTGCGCATGCTCTGAATCCGTATGTAAATTAGTCAAAACATATGTAAATTTGGCTTTCAAACATGCCTCAAAAATTGGACCTCACAATATGCCAAAACTTAGTGTCCATGCTTGAAACTTAAGACTTATTCTTTCATATTGTGTTTGTTAATACAGTATCTTGGTCTGACAAAAGTGTATACTCTCGAACTTTTTAGTATACTTGGAGAAAACAAACATTTATTTTCTCACTCAAACTCTTCAAAATTCTTAGAAAACGTGCTGAAATGCACGCATGCGCAAACGTTTTTCTCTAGGTCCATTGCAATCATTGTTTGGTGGTCAATCTAGCGCATTCGATGAAGACCTATATATTGTTACCATCAATTACCCCTGAGTATCAACATGATGGGGTGTTCTCTTGTTCTCAGCGCCGTACGCACGAAAAATCAATACAAGATCGACGTGAAGAACAGACCATGACAGGACTATCGTTGAGAAGCAGACAGAGTGTGGAAAAGAGAGAAAGAGATACCATGACAGGAATATCACTAGATGGAAAACAGGTAATTTAGTACACCATGGGCATGGCTAACTCACAGATTAAACCCTGAAACAACCTCTGGGCTGATCTAARTCAGGGCATKGCTAACTCACAGATTAAACCCTGAAACAACCTCTGGGCTGATCTAAGTCAGGGCATTGCTAACTCACAGATTGAACCCTGAAACAACCTCTGGGCTGATCTAAGTCAGGGCATGGCTAACTCACAGATTGAACCCTGAAACGACCTCTTGGCTGATCTAAGTCAGGGCACGGCAAACTCACAGATTGAACCCTGTAACAACCTCTAGGCTGATCTAAGTCAAGGCATGGCTAACTCACAGATCATACCCTGAAACAACCTATGGGCTGATCAAAGTCAGGGCATGGCTAACTCACAAATCAAACCCTGAAACAACCTCTGGGCTGAACTAAGTCAGGGCACGGCTAACTCACAGATTGAACCCTGAAACAACCTCTAGGCTGATCTAAGTCAGGGCTTGGCTGACTCACAGATTGAACCCTGAAACAACCTCTRGGCTGAACTAARTCAGGCTAACTCGCAAATCGAATTGCAATTTAGCGTTTTAGTAGGTTTTGCGTATGTAGGAAACCCGGCTAAAAATCTCGAATCAAACGAGAGACCTATCAAACTCTTCACATGTGATAAAGAGCCTGGAATCGAACCCGACAGGTGATTGCAGTTTTCGCTACTCCACCCTTAATTGATTCTTTGTGCACAAGTGAAACTACTAGAATTTGTGATACATTAACTAGTTACTTATTGATTAGTCATTGCAGTCAGATAGTCATCACTCATTGGTCAGTCGTGGCGTTAGTCCACTTCCTATCATGGAATCCAGTACACAAGAGGAAACCGAAGATCACGTGGAGTACCGAGGTGTTAGTCCACGTGACAGTGGCTTCGAAGGCGCTGGATCGAGTGTTAAATTTGATTCCAGGCCTGTATCAGGATCAAGCAATGTTAATGTTTTATCGCCGCAAATGGAGAGAGAAGAAGAGGTTGGTCTGTATGTCTGTCTGCCTGTCTGTCTTTGCCTGTCTTTCTGTCTGTCTATGAGTCTGTCTGTCTGTGAGTCTGTCTG